ACAGCAGCAGAATTAGTAGAGAGAGACATCAGTGATGTGATAGAGTTAGGAAGGGGAAATTGTGGTCCCTCTGTTCCTTAGGTTTCTTTCATGAATCAACTAAATATATTTTTAAGGGTCATCTGATGAAATATACTTGAACTTCCAAAGTTTCTGATGGTGTCCCTTCCCCTAGAGTCTCTTCTGGAAACGAAGCAATCGTGGAAAAGGAGGGATTGATTATCCTGTTCATTAACCGGTTCCTGAAAGGTAGAAATAATGGCCTGTGCTCCGCCAGCAGGGAGGTCAGCAGTGAAATCACTTAAGCATCAAAATTGTTTAACCTGATTGCTAAAAGGCATGATTTTTACAGCAGTAAAAAATTATTTTTGGTTATAAAGATGGAATAAATTTCATGAAAAATCACCACGTGAGCAAGTTCTAAAAAGCTGGAGAATTATATTCTGTATCAGTAAGTTTGAAATTGAGTGAAGGAGAGAGCTGCCTTAGCCAGGAATGAGTTGTTTTGGATACTTCTGTGTAAACATTAGTTGAGTGATCACTGGTATTCCAAAAAGGGATTGGAATTTCAGAAATCAGTGGGAAAAGTAGTATAAAATAAAGCAGGAAAAATTTTGTTATGGTAAAAATATGTCATATGCCCATGCCTTGTACCATACACTTGTCATTCCACTGGACTGGAATATCTGCTTTGGTATCTGCTCAACCTACTCAAAATACTGGGGGAAAACCACCAGCCTTACTGTTGAGATAGTTGTTAATAGTCATGCTAAAACATAATTAAACCAGAAAATATACCCATTGCCACCACGGGATTTAACACTGGGTGTGAAAGCTGGGAATCCCAAAGCCCTTCTTCACTAGAGCTAACAAAAAACCAGTTCTGAAGATGGGAGCTGGTTTGTGTCAGAAAACACTTACATGCTGGATGTTCGTGCTGTTTCTCCCTCCGTTTCAATCAAGCTTTCCATTAAAGGGGTTATAATTGTTAAAATCTATATTGTGTCTGTTCACAGACATATCTTTTCATTTTTAAATAGCAAACTCACCAGGGTTTTGGCAGACGTCTGAATCTCATTAGACAATGTATGTCCAAAGCAGCTTATGAGGAGAGAGAGGTTAATTTTAATTTTTATATTAGATGCCTTAAATTTAAGTGCTAGAAAACAGAGTGTATATGTATGTATATATACATATGTATATCTGTGTATTAGAAATGAAAGTCATAATATCCTAAGTTTACTTCTTCCTTTTTATTTTCTATATGAAAAAAACTATTCCTTTTTAAACTGAATCAGTAATTAATTGTAAGCAAGGTCATTAGTTGAGTACAATAATATTAGAGCAATGCCTGGTTTCTCACTCCTGTGTGACCTATTTACTGGGTGGCTGGTACACACTGGGGCTTACCAGGCTATAGAAGAGCTGATCAGGTCATTTAAGATTCTACGAGTTGCACACATTCAGGCTAAAATGTGATAATTATAATTCTGTCCTTTCATTCCATCAGTATTAACTGGGCTCACTGGGAGAAAGTATTTTGTTTGGGAGAAAGTGTTTGGAGTGCCTGAGTGGAACTGGGACAGTTACATAACCCCATGTAAGCCCGAAATTGGGTTACTCCAGTTTGTCCCAGATGCTATATTTGTCCTCTGGACTGTTGTCCTGGCACACAGCACTTCTGCCACACTTGCCTTTTTTTGTTCTTTTTTTTTTTTTTTTTTTCCCCCCAGTTAGAACACAGTCATGGGTATGTGCAGTGGCCTGATGAAGTTCTTTGCTGTAACAGCTCCTCACTCCCTGTTTCTGTGTCGTACCCAATTACTCATCCATGCAAAAAGTCTCCCTGGTTTGCTCTCTCTGTTTAACTTCAGGGTAAGGATAAGCTTCAGTTAAGGGTAAGGGCAGAGCAACGGACATCATCTACCTGGGCTTGTGCAAAGTGTTTGACACTGTCCTGCATGACATCCTGGTCTCTAAATTGGAGAGATGTGGGTTTGATGGGTGGACCAGTTGGTGGATAAGGAGCTGTCTGGGTGGGTGCACTCAAAGGGTTAAGGTCAACGGCTTGATGTCCAAGTTGCGACCAGTGATGAGTGGTGTTCCTCAGGGGTTGGTACTGGGACTGGTGGGGACCTAAAGGGGCTCCAGGAAAGCTGGAGAGGGTCTCTTGATCAGGGAGGGGAGCCCTAGGATGAGGGGGAACAGTTTTAACCTGAAAGAGGGGAGATGGAGCTGAGATGTGGAGAAGAACTTCTTTGGTGTGAGGGTGGTGAGAGCCTGGCCCAGGTTGCCCAGAGAAGCTGTGGCTGCCCCATCCCTGGAGGGGTTCAAGGCCAGGTTGGAGGGGGCTTGGAGCCACCTGGTCTGGTGGGAGGTGTCCCTGTCCAGGGCAGGGGGTGGCACTGGGGGGGCTTTAAGGTCCCTTCCAACCCGAACCATTCTATGAAGCTTATTTGAAGATTTTGGCAGGGACTTTTTGAAGGCCTTTCAGAAAGCTGGGAGGGTGGTACATATGAGTGTATCATAATGTTTTTGCTTGTTGGTCTCTTTAGAGAAATCTGCTTCTTTTGATTTCAAAGGCAAGACTGACACTTGTGAAGAAGACTCACCCAGTAATTATATTTTCTGTTATAGCTTATAATGATCTACTCAGTATGGATATAAGGTTAGCAACCTCTTAGCTTCCTCCCTGACCATTAAAAAATGGCATCAATTTGCCACCACCTGGCTCCTGAGGTGTGTAAGCAAGAGATCAGGTGCCACCTGGTAACCAACTCAGGAACTTCATTCTGGAGTTTCTGAAGGTGCTCTGATGACGTGGTACAGTTCTGTTACCTCCTCCCGTCCGAAACCTACAACTTTGTGTTTGCCCATATGAAAATATAAATGGTTTGCTCCTATCTGCTCTACCTCTGGTCCAGTCGTGATTTGAATGATCCTTTTACCAATTCACAACCCTCGTCTTTTCCTGCAGGATTGAATAGTTTCGCTTTAGTTCGGGTTGTTTAAAAACTGCCTAACAACCCAGGGCCAAGAGTGGTCTGTGCTGGTGCCTCTTGGAAGTGTATTGGGTGGGAAGAGCATCACCTGGCTCAGTGAGGTTCAGGGCTTTGGCAGCTAATCACTCTTAAATCTGTTTAATGTATCTGGTGTTCTTATAATGCTTGGATAGTTTAATTGAAATATTCTGCAATATTCAGTCATTGCTTACATAGATCTAAACACATCGTTATCAGCACCGTTATCTTCTCAACCAAACGTGTCATCTCCTCAGCTGACATTGTGAGTTAATTGCACCAGGTCCTGTTGGTTGTTGGTCTTTCTCCTCTTTGATTTCATACAAAGACTTCCATATCTTGATTCTGTGCTTTGGCTGAGCTTGAGGGAAGCTAATTATTTAGTACCTACACATATCAAAATCATCCTTTAAGCTTTTCATAGTACTTGTTTTCCTCGCTATTTTGGTAGATCCTGCCTTACTTATTCTGCATATATGATCCTTTCTGTGGCACGTATATGAAGTTAGTGGCAAAATATAAATGTATTATGATGATGAGGAGAGAGAAAATGCTGTTCATACTGGATGGTGTGCTTTATCCCCTGCGAACGGGCAGGATGGGATCAGTCCCAAATGCACGGAAGGTGGCTATGAATCCTGTTTTCCAGGAACATATTTAGACAAGCCAGGCAGCAGCAGGTGTAGGTAGGGTTATTTCTGCCGTGTGTAATGGGGCAGAATGACTTCCCAGAGTATTTTCCAAACCTTGTTTTCCATGATCGACTCCTCTGGCTCCTGGAAGGCATCTGGCAGTACGAGGTGGTGTCACAGCAGCTCCAGGTCTGTGGCAACCCCAACGGCTTAATTTCTTCAGTGTCTCTTTGGAAAGAGATGTTGTTGTCACAGTGTCATTGGTTAGAGCAGTTCTGGGAGCTTCCTTAGCGACTTAACATTTGGAGAATGTTACTTTATATATAAGTAGAGGGGCAGGTAACCTCTTACTGTAAAGGTCAGTTTTATTATCCACTATTCTATAAAGGTGCCTTGTTTAATTTCAGGGATTAATGACTCTAAGGGTTCATCTGACTGAACTGCCAAAAAATAATTGCACCTTCTGGTTAGATCTTACATCTTCATTTTTATTTTTTATTAGTGAAACAGGCTTGAACTTGAAGGAGTATTTCAAGCCATTGCTTCCAGAGCCTCATTTGACCCCTACTGTTCCTTTTGGAGATTGCATGCATTAATTTTGAAATCTTAATTTAAAGGAGAGAGTGAGAAGGTCAATAAAGAAATAGCTTTTCAATCCAGGCAGTGCTTGTATGGATACCTCACTGGGAGGGGTGGCAAAGTCTATTGGGCTTTCTCCCAAGTATATTTTTCAAAGAACTGGTTGCCTAGGTCTTTTTGAACAGAATTGATTAATCTTTTCGAACAGAAGATTAATTAGCATCTGTGAAAAAATAAGTTCAGAGTATGTGAGTGAGAAGTTCTTAATGTGCCATCAATGGCAGTAGCCAAATTACAACAATAGTACAGAGGGACCTGTGGCTCACTTGTGCTTGAGTGAGTGTTTCTTCTGCTCTCGGCACCTTTCCCAATGTGCTGGTGCTCCAGGACTGCAGCCTGTGAGGTGTGACATGGGGCCCTGCACGCTGTATTGGCCAAGTGACATTGCTGAGAGCTGTGCCCATCTGCACCGCACCGTGCAGAACATGGTGTGTTGGGCTCTGTTAAATGCCATCCTTATTTACACGTGGTATCTTCTGGGCTCTCTGAAACACTCAGGTGTGACTACCCAGGCATGGGTTTGCAGCTTTTGCCAGCAAACGTTTTGTTTGGAAGTTGTGACCTCGAATGCAAAGCATTTTCCTTTTTCTCCTTTCTAATAACCTTTAGGAGCATGAAAACCTTTGTCGCTTGTTTTAAATATCCCTGTGACGAGTCCTTGTAAGCCTGTGTGTGTTTGTAGTAAATGTTGCTCTGTGTGTGTCACCAGGGAGACTGCAGCTATGAACTGGAGATTCAGCCTCACTTACGTCTGGAAGATGTTACTGTTGGAAGGAAGAAGAGGCATCCTTCTGTGCCCAGCTCCACCGCGGGTCAGAGAGCACGCTCCTCCAGGAGAGACATGGCACACAGATCGAAAGTAACATCATTTTTACCCGATACAAACGAGAGTAGGAGTGAACTCTTTACCACGTTTAAAATGACAAAACCAAAAAAGAGTCCCAAAAGAACTTCTGGACCAAATTTAGAAGTACCTGTGTTGCCTACAGGTACTTCAGCTTCTTGCTCGGCAAGCAGCCTTGCTCTGGGTGAAAATATGGACCAGGGCAGTCCAAAGGATGAGGAACTAGCGGTGACGTTTGACTTAAATGAATTTATTGACCTGTGTGACAACAGTGACAGCACTATAATTGATGAAAGTGCAGCAGCAAAGGAATACAAAACTGGAGGTAAAGCTTGTAGCTCACTGGGAACAAACCACGCAGACTCGGGTTATAGCAGCTTCACAGCTGAGAAGTCACCCGTCTCCTCTGACTTATTTTATCTTCCCGAATCATACGTGGATTCATTTGCACTTGTGAGACCATCTGAGGAACCTGCTTGGTTAAAACAAATGGTTTCCCATGTGGAAAGGCTTTTATCCCAGTGTCCTCCCTTTTTGAATAAACTTTATGATTTTGAAAACATGATGAGAAATGAAGAAACACTATATCCTTCTCAAAAAGCTATTTCTGGCAGTTATTCAGAGAGACTGCAGGACAGAGTCTTTCCTGCGCCCCCAGAAGCTGATCCATCACTGCTGCTCTCGGGAAGTCCTGAACCCAAAGTCTCCAGGGAATTGGCTTCTGTAAGTACCTGTTCTTCAAAACCTGCAGCATCTTCTGAGCCTGCTGCTGGTAACGCCAAAGAGGGACTTCACTGCAATGACAGCTTTGGCAGTCTGTTTGACAACAAAGAATTCACTGAAATTCAAAAGACAACTCCAACAATAAGTCATACTCTGACCAATAACACTCTGACCAATAACCCTTCAAATAAGAATTTTGTTCAAAAAGATGAAGAACATCTTGAAGTGAACAAGAATAATGTGATTATTGCTGAAGAGCAGAGTATACATCTGTTTGAAGATGAGCACCTTTATGACCCAAATAATGGGAGTTTTTCTGTGAAAAACAAGCGTTTGGCAGGGCCAGATTCCAGAGGGAATGGTTTTAGGCTGGTTGCAGAGCGTGGCCCCGAGAGGTCTCCATCAGAGGGGTGCTGTGAGGGCACTGATGGGACCTCCAAGGAGCAGCCAATGGTGGGTGACACCTCTACCATGGGAGCGTGGGGAGATGTCAGTGCGACCCAGCAGGCTCTGGGGAGCGACCATCTCTATGACTGTTCCCAAGAACTCTTTTCTGTGAACTTTGATCTGGGATTTTCCATCGAAGACTGTGAGAATGACATCTCTGAAGAAGATATAAATACTGATAATACCAGAGAATGCGGTGGCGCCTGGGGCAGTCGTGCAGGTGGTACATCCACCGAAGAGAAAACACAATCACTGACCGATACCTCCAGACTCGAAACATCACCCAAGTGGGATTGCAGAAGCCTGGAGAGAAGAGCTGTTTCCACACCCCTGGGGTTCCAGAGGAGCAGTGTTGGTGCCAGAGAGGGGGCTGAGGCTGCTGCTGCTGCAGGGCCTTCCTCGGAGCAGGGAGCCAGGAGAACGGGAAGGGGCTCACCTGAACCTTTGGCTTCTGCACTTTCCACCCCTACAAGCAGAAAGGCTAGGAATAGTGAAGTTATCAGAAGAATTCCTATCAATGTCTTCTCTAGTGCCAGGGAGGAAATTCCCAAGATGACTCTTGCAGAGCATAGCCCACGTGGGCAGAACTTTGGGAGTTCAGCCATGGATGTACTTGGCTCCCCTTTAGGAAGAGCCAAAACCCTGGAAGACACCAACCATCATAGTTCACGTGTGTGTCCTGCTGCAGGTAGGGATTCCAGTGTACAGTTACTTCATACCTTTGTCTTACAAATATTGACTGACTGTGGGCTCTATCCTGCTTTTATTTCCTCCCTGCTGTCTTTTTCTGGTTTAGGACCAATGTACCATTAAAAAATACTTTGTATTCAGGCATTGCCAATATACGAATGACCATCATTCTTCCCTCGTAGGTCACTTACAGGTCACGTTCACACCCTTTGTTGTATTTATCTCTGAATAACCTTGAATTACTTTCAAAATAACTCAGGCCTAATAGTACTTGGCCTGATTCACAGCACACATTGAGTTTTTCTGAATGGTTTTGTCACTGTCCTTAAACATTGAAACAAAGCATAAACAGGCCTTTTGGTGGTTAAAGCATCTTTTTTTTTTCCTTCTCTTTGAATTTGTCTGATTGTCATCACTCCCTGACGATGGGGGATTGTAGGATGCCATCTTTCTTCCTGAGTAGTTTGCTGAATTAAAAAATTATAATCTATTTATTAAAAAATAGATTAAATTGTAATCTATTTAATAAAAAAAATAATAAAAAACACCAAAAAAAAACCACCCCAAAAACAAAACCACAAAAAGAAGCAAGTTGCTGTTTTAGAATTGCAGGGTTAACGGTGAACCTGGATCAGGTAGTTAAGGGCTTTGTCTGGTTGGGTCTTGAAAACTTCCCTGGGCAGTTAATGATAGGTATGGATATTTAACTGTGTTATTTTAGAAGGGGAAAGTTTGGGAATGTTATGCTTTTCCTTAAAGAAATTCAAGCCTTTTGAGCGATTTAGTCAGGACCAACTCTCCATCCTCCCTGGCAAGAGGATTGGCAAGAGGAGTTTCCAGTGAGTTCTGGGGTTGTTTCAGTGCACCCGAAGGGACGGGTGTTACAAAAGGCTTCCAGAAGTGTGACTCTTGCTCAGCTTTTAAGGACTTCTCTTGGTTTCATTTCTCACCTCCCTTTTGTGTGTGTGTGCTGCCGGGGGTAATCACTGCCGCTCCGAGACTCTCCAGGGAAGCAGGATTTATTGTCCAGCTCAGCTGGAGATTATTTATTTTGATTAACAAGGCTAAAGAGAACAATATTTGCCACATAGATCAATAAGTAATCTCCTTTGGAGGTACTTTTATAAGAGGGGCAGATTTTGATTGCTCAGTTATAGCAATATTGACTTGGGAACAGTGCATTTTCTTGTGACTGTTGTTTACTATTTTTGCTGCAGGAACCAGCAGCGAGAGCGAAGAGGAGATCGTTTTCCAGAGAAAAAATAGGAAAAAAAAGAATGTTTTGAAGTCTCCTGATGTGAGTCACAGAAAAAAAGGAAAAATAACAAACTGAAAAAGATGAGGAGCGAAGTGGCAAGTCAAACAGCACGACCAGGCTGCCCGTTGCAGTGACCCTTGTTTGTGTTTCCCCAGGGGCTGAGTGAGAGTGACTTGGAGTCGCCGATTCCTGCCGTCAGAAAGCGCCGACACCCCCTTAACGTGGTCAGTGCCTGCTCCAGTGAGAAATAGTGCAACTCCTTTATGGAGTGTATAGCTAAACATTTGCTCTTTCTCCAGTCAGTAGGCCATTGTTCTTATTAAAAATATTTGATGCCATCTGACCCAAGGCCTATTAGAATGGAATTGCTTTCCTGCCTTCAGCTCTTCCCTGAGGTCTCCAGGGATGACTTTGGAGTTGGTGTTTGGCAGCGAAGCGCTGGGATAGGAGAGCTGAGCCTCTCCCTTTGTGAAAGGCACTACAAGAACCTTTCTTCCACAAAGCTTCAAAGCAAAAAAAAAAAAAAAAAAGAC